AATTTCGACCTAGTATAGATCTTCTCAGCGCTCTAAACGGGATTGGAAGCCAAGTTATGATCATTGTTACTGCTCCGCTACAAATGCGCATGTATAGTAGGTCACAGCACAGATAGGCTTATTAGAAATCATATTTATACTATCCTAATAATCCCAAGGAGAGTCATGATGAGATTTAGGCGAGGCCAAAACTGTAGCCGGGCCTAAAAAAGCTTCGAAATATATTCACACCAAATATATCAATAAAAAGAAACAATAATATGCTCACATTATAGTAACCCACAAGTATTATACATTAAGGAGCTAATGGACAGTATTTAATGCAAAAGATAGGCATTACTCTCTGTATGCTAAGCTTTTTAGACTAAATAAAAGGTGCTATCGGATTAGGATGGAATGCGATGTACATACAACAAGAAATTTCATTATTTAAAACAATGGGGTTTTGGGCTAACATACAAAGGAATGTATCCGAAATAGCACTAAATGAAGTATAATATTACGATTAATGAGATGAAATTAAGGATAATAAACTCATTTCAAGGCATGTGTAGAATAACCCAAAATTACGGTATCTCTATTTAGACAGTGCCTGGCATAAAAATAAATATTGCATACGATAAATAACTAAAGTTACCATAAGTATTAATTCGCAGAAATTTTTGAATGGGACTCGAATGCAGTAAATTGAGCAATGAAAATAGTAATAACCCTCCAAACTATAAGAAACATACCACATACATCTTGGAGATTGGATTCCTGAGGAAAGCAAGATGAATTATTTAAAAATGATGGCCATTTTCTTTTAGAGTCTTCAACAACGGCGGAATCTTTGACTCGTTCGGAGTATAGCTTAATGTCAGATAGATCTGATTTAAGAATATGATCAGAAAGCTGAAATAAAGTACGATCTTCCCGTTTGCCGCAATCCGTTTCAAGAGGATCATATTGTAGAAGAGCGACTTCCTCAGGATGAAGGTTTTCCTGGCCGTTCGAAACGAGAGAGCGCTTTAAATCGTTGCAGCTTCCAGTTAATCTGTGTTCAGATCCAGATTTTATTCTAAAAATTACAATATCCGTAAGAAACTGAGCATGGGAATAAATTATAATAAAGTATAATTGTCATTACTCCTCTGATAAGGCGTGACTAGATGGCCTGTTGTAATGGCGAAATGTCTCAGTGGACCCAGTGGGGAAATGACTGCGTGAATTTGATTCTAGGCACAGCCGCATGCGAAAGGTATCAACGGTCATACCAGCATATTCGATCTAAAATAGTTTTGTAA